GTCACCGCTGACAGAACCAAACCTGTCCAGTCATTATGCACAAGCATGCGATTTAAAAAATTGGGCTAAACATACCTCCTATGAACTTGGGACATCATAGCTGCAGCTACAAAGATGCGTTAGGTGTAGTTTGAAACTGCGTTCTCAAAGAAGCCTCACCAAAAGACTACTCTCTTGCTCACCGTCACCGGTTACCTATCCCAAGCTTGTGTGAGGGCAGTTTAAAGCTTATTAAGCCTATCTGAGTTGTTGTCTGACTCAAGTGACTGTTCCTGCATCCACTACTAATCTGATGAGTGTTTGATAGTGGCGAGAGCGCGATGGTGACTTGTGCCAGGACACATTTATAATGAAACAGACTTCAGCGGTATATACCTCATTATCTATCCCCAAATACGGAGTGTTCCACAAGCAGTAAGTTTTAAGCTGATTGAAGTTGGGCGCTTACAAGTGTCTAACAAAGCTAAGTTACTACACCGCACTACATAAAAACCGAGAATTAATTGGACGATAAGAGATTGAAAGCTTATCATGTAGAAGTTGAGTAGACTTGAACGTGTGATTCCGTGTCGTGTATTTTGTCTGTATACGTTTCACAAATTTAGTCTGCTTCATGTTAGATAGCCCAGGTACTAGCTAAAGGCCCATTCTATAGGCATAGACCGAAACTGTAAGTGTATATTTGGACTGAAACCCGTCAAGTGCTGCGTAATAGGCACATTCTGCCAATGGACAGACTGAAGTATTACCCGGGCTGTTAGTATGGTAAACTACAACATCAATATATACTTCCAAAGACTGTCCTTGGCAGCAGGTGTATATAACGCCGTAGTTGATGGGTTTCTGCTCAACTATACATTTAAAATTTCGGTCTATGCCTATAGAATCGGCCTTTAGGCTAGTACCTTGGCTGTAAGTATGGTAAGTTGCAACATCATTGTTAAACAATCTTTGATACAGCAATATATTAGAAGACCCCGGGCAAAGACTTAAGACCGAAACGGAAGGTTCGAACTCCGTCCGGTGAGAAGGAATAATTGGTAGACATCACTTGCTTCATGAATAATCGTCTACAGCGAAACATTAAAAGCGTCCGAAGCTAGACACCGAACTCGATGACTCAATGGTTAGGACGTCTGCCCCTGACCGGCGAGGCGCG